CCGCCCCTCTCCCACAGTCTGCCCCGCCCACCCGAGAACCAGCACAAACTTTTCTAGCAAGCATGTTTGAGTCTGGAGTTTGGGCTTGGCTTGTGTTTTCTGGTCTAGTTCTAGGATTAACGGATTTGAACAGGGTTCGAGACATTGATCTTGAGGTGTTTGCTAGAAAAGTCTGTTTCCAGCCCCTCCTGCAGCACTGGACACTGGGAAACCAATCCCTCTACTTGAAGTGGCTAACTGCCTGTTTCCATAGACATGTCTGCTTTTTCTTTTAAACCTTTTTTATACTTCATTTGACTTAATTTTTTTAGTTGTGTGATATTTTTCCTGAATAACACACACACACACTCGTCTGCGTCTCGCTCTTCTCTACCTCTCATCCTCCTCTCTGTTCCCCGAACCCTCTGGAGTTTGTAAATCCTGTTTCTTAAACGTAATTATGGCCAATAAAGTTGGCAGCATTCATTCAGTTGTTGGACTTTTTTGATTGTAATCATTAAACGCAGCGTTTTGTTTCACTATGACTCGAGTCGCTTGCTGTGATTTATAGAAATATGAACTCAAGGCTGTTACTAATTGCACACATACACTGACAAAAATGTGTTCCTAATGAGAAAATACTTTTAGATTAATATATATATTTTTAAATCATTAATATTTTAACACAAAGGTTTTTTGATGCCAAAAAATAATTGAGAAATAAAAATGTCTCGTGCTCAATTTAAATAACGTATAATGTTTACATTAAAATAATGAGATTTTGGTTTTATATATATATATATATATAGAATATGCTTAATTTAATGTAACATTTTATAATTATGTATAATTTTTGCATTACAGTGATGGCGTTTTGATGAGATAAAATGTTCAACATTTCTCATTTTCATTTAAAGTTGAGTTCCTTAAATATATGCAGCTAAAACTGAAATAAAAATTAACTTTTATAGAAATTTTTTTTTTTAAATATTACAAATGACGAAAACCACAACAATGTTATTAAAACTAAATGAAAACAAAATTCAGATAGAAAATATAAAAGTAAAAAATAATTTTACTAAAATATAAATTAACTAAAAAAAAATAATTCAATAACATTTCTCAATTTTATTTAGTTTAAGTTGATTTCCCAAATTCAAAATAAAACTGAAATAAAAGTTAATGAAAACTACAGACATATTTAAAAAAATAAATAAATAATAAAAATGGCAAAAACACAACAAAATTAAAAAAAAAACATTACAATTCTAAAATTAAAATACAAATGAAAACTATAAAAAAATAAAAACTCATTTAATATATTATTAAAACTATAATATCATATGAAAAAGTTTTGTCAGATTTCTGTCAGGTTTATATAAACTCATCCATCTCTGTTAAGCCTCTGAAGAAATTCAAATACAAACTTTTTTAGAAATCCATTTCAAATATTCCAGGTATTTCTTTATTTTCTATTTTAATCAGAATGTTTCAGACTAAACGTGTTTTCTTGTGAATATCGTTTTAGTCCATCCTCTCAGTCTTTTATAAAATCCCTTGAACCAACAGAAGCCATTTCCTGAATGACATCATCCTGCAGGAAGTGACATCATTCTGGAGGGAAAACGGCACAAACGTCAAGCCTCGGGTGGATCTGATGAATTCTGGGATGTTCGATGGTTTGTGTTGCTCTAGAAACATTCATCCTGCTTGATCAAACAAAAAAAGATCAGACGTTCAAAAGATGCTTAAAATATGCATTTATTTATTTGCAGTGAATTATACTCTGATTCATAAACGCGTTACAAGATGAGTGTGATTCTGAACAGGATTAATATTCTGATGCTGATAAAGACCAGACAGGATGATCTGATTAAAAACTAATTACACGAATAATAATGAATCTGAAGTGATTCGTTAAAAATGTGTTCTTGCGTGTGTGACGTAAAGCGATAGTACAATCACAGATGCTTTCTCTATTGTTTACTGAAAGAACAAGCCGTTTATGCTTCATAAAAGCTCTTTTTATAGTATGTATTATTGAGTTCAGGGTTATTATTGTTAAATTAAGAATAAAAATGCTTATTTCAGCTACAACATTTCTCATTTTTGTTTTTCTTTGAGTTGCTTTCCTTGAATATCTAATTGAAATAAAATTAATAAAAACTATATATACGCACAAATATACACATAAAAAATTAAAAACTAATAGAAATGACAAAAACACAACTAAATTACTCAAATTAAATAAAAATAAAAACTAAATTGAAACATTAACTAAAGCAAACAAAACATACTTGATTACAATTAAATTAAAAATTTAAATTAAATCATTTTATTTCAGTGACAGCGTTTATCATTTTAATTTAGTTTAAGGTGATTTCCTTAGCTAAAACTACAACTGGAATAAAACTATATCAAAATATAATATAAAAAACTAAATATGTATTTTTAACAACTAAAAAAGCTAATAAAAATGACAAAAAACAACTAATTTACTAAAACTTTTAATTAAAATACAAATAGAATATATATATATATATATTTGTATGTATATATATATATACTTGTAAATAATTTATATGATATATAAATATAAATATTTTATATATAAATCTAACATATTTTTCATATATATATTTGTATTTGTATGTATATATATATTTGTATGTATATGTATATATATATCTGTATAACTATTGTTAACAAACTAATAAAATAAAATGAATTTAATGAATTTAAATAAATTTCAGTTATGTATATTTCCTTAATTGAAACTAAAACTGAAAGAATGAAATATATAAACTATATAGAAATATAAAAAAAAAATAACACAAAAATTATTCAAACTAAAATTTAAATACAAATAAAAATATACAAAAATCAAGTCAATTCAAAATATTAATAGAAAATATATTTAGTTCACTAGTATATTAAATCAGTAACAGTGATGCATCTGTGTTCTGAACAGCTGTCAGATTCGGTTCAGATCTGCTTTGATCGAGTGAGTGATGCTTGTTCGTGTTCCAGATAAAGTGTAAAACATGAAGAATCCTCAGGAACCTCTCAGATATGAAAGCAGCAGAATGATCTGATGAGAATGAGACACGAGCCTCACATCGGCAAAACGGCCCACAAAGTCGAGCGAAGCAGAATCTATTGCTCTCAAAGCCCAGAATCAGCAGGACGAGGAAAGCGTGGCGTCAGCAGAAGCCGAAAGCTCTTCATTGTGAGATCTTTGTGCAGCGGCTCTCGCGAGATCGTGTGGCCCGTATATATTGACCCGTCCAACTTTCGCTCTCACACTTTGGTGCGTGTGGCTGAGTTTGGACACAATCCAGTGGAGATGTCGCAGTATTCTGGAAAGGTAAGAGTGCGATCGGTCACGACTTCAGCAGAGTTTGGGTCAGAAACCACCTTCGGTCAGCTTCATCAAACCCTGGACCCTGGAACATTTCAGGCGTATAATTAGGCTGATCTTTGACCTCTTATAGGCCCCTTCATGCTTGCTGTGTTATTTCAGTGTCACTGAGATCCTATTATATTTTTTGTTAATATTTTATTTTTACATATATTTTTTTGTTTTCATTTTAACCTTAGTATTTTTATTTTTTGCCATTTTTATTAGTTTTTGTTTTGTTTTTATTTCTGCATAATTTTTATTTATTAGTTTTAGTTTATTCATTTTATTTATTTATTTTTACATTTAGTGTTAGTTTATTGTTATGCTTAAGTTTAAACTATGAAATGTTGCCTTGGCAACTAGCTGAATTTTTTTTTATTTTATGATTTTTTAATTTTTTAATTTTTATTAATTTTAAGGTTTTTATGGTTTCAGTTAAAAATAATTGCTCTGGCTTGGAGAGATACTGTCATTGTTTTTACATTACATTTACAGTTTGACCGTTAATATTTTTTCATTAGATTTTAGTTAAAGTTTAATTTTAGTTAAAGTTTTAGTAACTTTTTAAAAATAATTATTAATTTTGTAATTTTTATTAGTTTTATATATATATATATATAATTTATTATTTTTTATAGTTTTATTTTAGCTATTTGTTTTATTTAGTTTTATTTTTAATTTTTCTGAAATATTTTTAAATTAGTTTTAAAAATATATTTTATTTCAGTTAATGTTTATTTTATTTTAAGTAATGAAAATGTTTCTTATGGTTTTAGTTTTAGTTAACAATAATAATCCTGGCTTGGAGAGTTTATCTCATCATTTTTACATGACATTTATAGTTTTATATTGTTATTTTAGTTAAAGTTTTAGTAATTTTTAAAAAAATGTGTCTAAATGGTCTTTAGTAATTTTATGCATTAGTTTTAGTCTATAATGTTTTTTATTATAATATTTATTTATTTTTATTTAGGTTTAGTTTACGTTGGCACTTAGTTAAAGTTGTGGCCATTTTTTCATATGTCTATACAGTTTTAATGATTTTTATTTATTAGTTTTATTTATGTATTTATTATTATCTACTTAGTCTTAGTTTACATTGATACTTTAATTTAAATGAAATGAAAAAGAGAAATGTTGCCTTGGGAGTTTGTGTAATTTGTTTTAAATACATATATTTTATATTTATATTAATTTTATTTCAGTTAATGTCTATTTAATTTCAAGTAATGTTTTAATGGTTTTAGTTTAAATTAACCTTGGCTTGGAGAGTTTCTCTCACATTTATATGACACTTTCAGTTTGATATTGAAGAAATGCAATTATTCTCCGACTCTTAACATGAAGATCTTGGATTGCAAGGCCTTCAGAAGAAGCCTGTTGAGATGCTCTCTGATGATTTGACTGAGCTCTGCTCCTCAGATCGTGTTTTACGAGGGCCGCTGCTTCACCGGCCGCCGGCTGGAGGTCTACGGTGACTGTGATAACTTCCAGGACCGTGGCTTCATGAACCGGGTGAACTCCATCCGCGTGGAGAGCGGCGCCTGGATCTGCTTCGATCATCCGGACTTCAAGGGCCAGCAGTTCATCCTGGAGCGCGGAGAGTATCCCGAGTTTCAGCGCTGGAACTCACACAACGATCACATGGGCTCCTGCAGACCAATCAGGATGGTGAGAACATCTCGAACTCATCTTATCATCTCTAACTCTAGCACTCTCTATTCTAATTCTATTTGATCTATTTTTTAATCACTTGCATTCTCTATTTATTTTCTAACTGCATGTTTTTCTGTATATATGTGTGTGTGTGTGTGTATATACACACACACACACACATACATACAGAAAAACATATACACTACAGTTAGATTACCGCATTCAATAAGTTAGCTATGTATAGGTTTAAAAAATAGTTTCTTATATCTAGTGTTGTATGTTTATATTTATGTTTAACTATGTAGCACGACATTTCGTTCCACTGCATGAGCACAAACCTCGACTTGACTCGAGCACACTATCAAGGGCTTCAATGCACTAAACACAACAGGATGACACGAGATGCATCTCGAAGGCTGTGCATTAACACACATGTCATGATTTTGTGGTGTGTTGTTCTATGTCCAGCACGGCGAGCAGTACCGCATGCAGCTGTTCGAGGGCTGTAACTACACGGGGCAGTGCATGGATCTGTGTGACGACTGTCCCTTCCTTCAGAGCCGCGGGTTCAACACTAACTGCATCAACTCTGTGCGAGTGTTCGGAGACGGAGCGTGAGTTCACTCTCATCAGTTATATTCATACTCTATACTCATTCTGTTCAGAGTTCACAGATGCATGTTTAGATGCTGCAAGTGCTCCAGTTTTTCAACATTTGTGATCGCTTTAGTGACAGATGCGCTTATAAAAGTACAAATGTGGCCGTAAAAATGGACTTCAAACTCGTACAAGTTTAAAATACTTTAAAGTGCAGCATTTCTTCTAGAAAAAAAGAGTTAGTGATGAACACCATTGCTATTTGTTTACTATTATAGTCTTTGAATTTAGCTTAATTATTTTTTTAGCTTTCATTTTAAGTTTTAATAATATTGTCTGTTTTTATCATTTGTTTTTTTAAATTTAGTACTTATTTTGCAAATGTATTTCATTTAAAATTGTTGAAGTAAAATTTTTTCATCGTATATTCATTCTTTACTATATTTATTTACTTTATTTAATTAAATTACCAACATTTGTCTTAGTTTTAGTTTGTTATTTTGTCATTGTCATCTGTATTAGTCTGTTGTATTATTTCTATTTAGTTTTTTATTATTATTTTAGAACTTGCATTTTTATTTCAGTTAGTTGCCAAAGTTTTGAAGTTCGTTTTTCATCTAATATTCACATTTTTATTTTTGTATTTTTAGTTTTAGTTTTAATGTTATATGCTTTTGTCTTTTTATTTTTTATGTATTTCTATGTAGCTTTATTTTTGAGTTGTAGTAATTTTAGTGCTTCAATTTTTTTTTGAAGTTCAAGTTTTCCTAATATTCATATTTTATCATTTTATTTTATTTTTTGTTTCAGCTTTATTTCAATTAACATCTCTTTTGTATTAGTTAATGTGCTTTTTACCATTTTTATTAGTAACTTTTTATATTTCTCTTTAGCTTAGATTTTTTGTTAATATTATATGCTTTTATCTTTTTATTTTTATATATATTTCTATTTAGCTTTATTTTTCATTTTTAGTCATTTTAGTGCTTTAACTCATACATTTTTTTAAGTTTAAGATTTTCATTAATATTCACATTTTATCATTTTATTTTATTTTATTTTGTTTCAGCTTATATATATATTAGTTAATGTGCTTTTCCCCCCATATTTTTAGTTCCTTTTGATATTCCTGTTTAGCTTAGATTTTTACATTTCTGATTTTTTTTCTCCATCTAATACGTGACCCTGCAGCACAAAAGCAGTGTTAAGTCTCTGGGGTATATTTGTAGCAATAGCCAACAATACATTGTATGGGTCAAAATTATTGATTTTTCTTTTATGCCAAAAATCATTAGGATATTAAGTAAAGATCATGTTCCATGAAGATATTTTGTAAATTTCCTACCGTAAATATATCAAAACTTAATGTTTGATTAGTAATATGCATTGCTAAGAACTTCATTTGGACAACTTTAAAAGCGATTTTCTCAGTATTTAGATTTTTCTGCACCCTCAGATTCCAGATTTT